CCTCCCAGCACACATAAGGGGGATTACCAACAGACCCCTGGCAGTCTTCAAGCTGGCACTGGACAAGCACCTAAAGTCAGTTCCTGATCAGCCGGGCTGTGGCTCGTACGTTGGTTTGCGTGCAGCCAGCAGCAACAGCCTGGTTGATCAGGCGCTGATCCACCAGGAGGCCTGGTCACAGACCGGGCCGCGGGGGCGTTGACCCCCGAAACTCTCTCCAGGTAAACTCCAGGTAATTGAGAAAAAGATTTAGGAGTTCTGGTTAGCAGTAATCTGAAACCAAGACAACAGTGCATAAGTGTTCGCAATAAAGCTAATAGAATCCTTGGCTTCATATCAAGAAGCATAAATAATAGGAGTCCTCAGGTTGTTCTTCAACTCTATACATCCTTGGTTAGGCCTCATTTAGATTATGCTGCACAGTTTTGGTCACCGTATTACAGAATGGATATAAATTCTCTGGAAAATGTACAAAGGAGGATGACAAAGTTGACCCCATGTATCAGAAACCTTCCTTATGAGGATAGACTAAGGGCCCTGAAACTGCACTCTCTAGAAAGACGTAGAATTAGGGGGGATATGATTGAGGTGTATAAATGGAAGACAGGAATAAATAAAGGGGATGTAAATAGTGTGCTGAAAATATCTAGCCTAGACAGGACTCGCAGCAATGGTTTTAAGTTGGAAAAATTCAGATTCAGGAAGGATATAGGAAAGTACTGGTTTGGTAATAGAGTTGTGGATGAGTGGAACAAACTCCCAAATACCGTTATAGAGGCCAGAACGTTGTGTAGCTTTAAAAATAGGTTGGATAAATACATGAGTAGATGTGGGTGGGTGTGAGTTAGACCTGATAGCTTGTGCTACCAGGTCGGTTGCCGTGTTCCTCCCTTAAGTCAATGTGACCTGACCTGACTAGGTTGGGTGCATTGGCTTAAGCCGGTAGGAGACTTGGACCTGCCTCGCATGGGCCAGTAGGCCTTCTGCAGTGTTCCATCGTTCTTATGTTCTTATGTTCTTATGTATATACCACTCTGCATAGGCTTGTGCTACACGGAAAAACCAAAACGTGTATCTGAGAGGTGGATATTAACATCAAGGAAAGGAAGCAAGGAATTAGATTCCCACTGAAGATTGAAACACTTATACAACATAAGAACATAAGAAAGGAGGAACACTGCAGCAGGCCTGTTGGCCTATTCTAACCATGCATTGTTGTTACCAATCCTTGTGGAGTAAAGCCTATAGGGGCAGGAGACTTACCAAATAATACGGTATACATTAGTATTACATCCATAATGACCATTATGATTATTTTTCCCAATTCATTGGAAAGTAGGCTTAATTTTTTCTGCTTTGTTCTCATTCTGGTTAGACTGAGTTAAATATCCAAATTAGGTTCTGTTGAAAAAATTAATGCAATCATGAAACAACAGTTATTAATGGTTAGTCTTAATTTCATCTGAACTTAACCCACTTATTTCGCTTCCTAACTTCATTTCATCCTCAGTAGGATAATAAAATTGGCACCATTTATTTTTTTGTCACCATTAAAAATTACCGAATATTCAGTAGAACCAAAACGGTGAACCTGGCATTCTTTTTTCACATCATTGATGTAATATCATGCCTGATGGAGTGCATAAATCAAGGTGGTCTAGTGGATGTCAACAATGGCAGGCAAAAAATGAAAATGTTCAGCTAATACGAAAAATGGCCGAGTCTATGGTTCAGTATCTCAAGAAATTCGATAACGGCCAGAGTTCATCAAATGATTTTAGTCATGATCTTACTGATAACACTGACGTTGATTCTGACTCCGACAATGGTAATATAAGCGAGAGCAATGAAGGGGATGAGAGTCTGAGAGTTACCATCGATGTGTGACGTTTCTTCTTGGAAAATTCCAGTTCCAGACCATTCCAGGATTGAACATTAAAATGGTATAAAATACCGACAGGTTGTTAGGTAAGACACATATGCAACAGTTAGATATCTTTATTATGAAACGTTTCGCCTACACAGTAGGCTTCTTCAGTCAAGTACAGAAAAGTTGATAGAAGCAGAAGATACTTGAAGACGATGTAATCAGTCCATCACCCTTAAAGTTTTGAGGTGGTCAGTCCCTCAGTCTGGAGAAGAGAATTGTTCCATAGTATGAAACAATATGGAGAAGAAGTGACAGGATGGAGCTTTTTATAGCGCCAAGAGGTGAGACGTAGGCCACTAGGAGAGGTAAGAACTCAGATGTTGAGAGGTCAGGTCCCTCTCAAATCCAGCCCCTCTCACTAGTGGAAGTTGTCGAAGTTGACGCCTATATAAACGTCAGTCTTCTTGCCTTTGCTCCAGATTCTCCTCCACCACGATGCTGTGAACACTAACTCCAAGGCCGAGGGACTGATTACCTCATCTTTTGTATATAGTTCTACTGACTTCCTATTATGTCCTAGAATCTGTATTGATAAAGCCACTGGATGGCGAAACGTCTACAATAAAGATATCCAGATGTTGCACATGTGTCTTAACTTTCTTGAGATGGTTGAATTAATGGCTAAGTATGATCCTGTGCTAAAAGAGCACCTAATGAGACTGAAGTGCAGCTCAAGTGAACACAGGTCATCAGTTTCGTATCTCTCACCATCAACTCAAAATGAGTTTTTAAGTGTTCTGGCAAATCGAGTCAAAGAGAAACTTGTTACTGATATCAAGAGAGCTGTATACTACAGCGTTATGTTTGACAGTACACCAGATGTGTTACACACTGACCAAATGTCAGAAGTTATCAGGTACGTGCAAATGGAGGATGGAAGAGTTCAAGTGAAGGAAGTTTTTCTTGTTTTAATTCCCTTTGAAGGGCAAAAAAGCTGCTGATGTAAGTTCTGATATCCTGAAAAAGTTGGAAAGTGATGGACTGGACTTCATGTTGTGCCGTGCTCAAGGATATGACAATGTTGCCACCATGGCTGGGGTCCATGGAGGTGTACAAGCCATTCTTAAGGAAAAGAACAAGACGACAATTTTCAGTGGTTGTGTGGACCATTCATTGAACTTGTGTCGTCAGTATTCTTTTGCCGAGAATTCATCATGTGTAAAATTTTTTTTGCAGTCTTGAGTCAGCGTATACACTGCCTCCTCCACCCATCGATGGGATGTATTAATGGACCATACTGCAGTCTCTTTGAAAAGATCAACAACAAGATGGAGTTCTCATTACAATGCAGTGAAACCAGTTGCGGAATCGTTCGAGAAATTTGTGGCAGCGATTGAAGCTCTTTGCGATCCACGGGAAAATCTGGATACAAGAGGAGCAGCACAAGGCCTTCTGTTGTGTGTGATTTCACATTTCTGTGTTATCTGTATTTCTGGTGTGACATACTTCGGGAGGTTCAGCTTGCACAGCAGTACTTGCAGACTAAGGATTTAACTCTTGACAAAGTGAAGCTAGAGGCACTGCGAATATTTTTATATGAAGGGCGAGATCCCATAGTGGAGAATTCAATACAACAGCACTTTTGAAATGTTAGAAGTATGGATTTCCAACAGAGAGAAGAATCAGGTTAAAGAAGAGGATGGCAGGAGAGCAGGCAAGAGATTCCGGACTCACTCTACAGGAAGAAAATAAGAGGTCGATGTTGGTGTGCATTAATGGTTTTCATAATGAACTCGAGATGCGATAAAAATCAATCAAGAATGTGGCAGCCATGTTTGTGGTCGTTCAAACAAAGAATCTTGTGGAAGCTACTGAAGAAGAATTGGAGGTGATGCTTCAAGACTCACAATCTTCTATAATGAAATATGCAAGAATGAGCTCATGCTTGAAATACCAAGACTAAGGCAGCACCTGCAAGCTGCTGATGTTGATCTTGAAATACTAATCCTAATCTTAATCTTAAAATAATAAATCCTAACTAGTCATAAGTTTGCCTATGATACTCCAATATAGACACCTTGTATTGTGCTAAAACAAAAGTATTCACATTGCTAAACTCACAAATTATGATATAGTCACTTAGCCTTAATACCATAATCTGTAAGGATATAATGTTAAGAATTAATCAAAGTCTGCTCGAAATGCCTAGCCATGCTAGGTGTCCTAGTGGCCCCCTCTGTAATTAGTATTTTACAACATGTAAACCACATAATACCCAAAAACTGTAAACCCCACATTGTAACCCTTATAGAGAATAAACATGAAATGAATTGAATTGAATTGAAAAAGTTAAGGACTGGACTGCAGTGGATGCACTATAACATTCGTAGTTGAATGGGATTTCATTGAATCTCTTCCAACTCTGACACTCTGCCTGAGGTTGTTCCTTACTATATGTGTTTCTGTAGCTTCTTGTGAAAGGAGTTTCTCCAAGCTGAAGCTGATTAAAAACTATTTACGGTCCACAATGAGTCGATCCAGAATCTTTGACTCGGCAATGTTATCCATAGAAAATGGGTCAGTTGACAGTATTGACTGATGATGTGATAGATGATTTTGAAGGACTGAAGGCAAGGAAATGTAAGATCAGATTCACTGAAAATGAATAAATGTAGGATCTGTTGCCTGTACTCAAAGTGGTATTTGAATTTATGTTTCCTCAATATTACTACGATTATTTATCATTAATAAAGTTGAGAAGTATTCTCCTGTTTAGTGTATGGCCCTTAAACGTTCTCATTGCCAAACATTAGTCACTAGTCATGCAGTAGTGACGTAACTGGAGTTTACTTCCCCCCATCACCCCGCCCCTGGATTTCATGGGGGTGGCACCAAAGATGCCACCCCGGGTCACACCAGCCCTAGCAACGCCTCTGATGGAACGATTGGTGAATAGATATCCGATGTGGTTCTAAGAGATACACAATAGCTTTTCCCCTCGCGAATATGGCATTCGCAAAGGCTGAAGGAGGAAAACGAGAAACGATAAGAAAATGGGAAACAATTGAGGAGGAAAACGGAAAGGGGTAACTATACCATTTTCAGACCAACACCAACATTCGCTGCTCACCGTGTTGTAGAGCAGCTTGCTGCAATAGAAACACACACAACGTAGAATCTTGACGGTCTTGGTGAGGAAACCAACATGGAAGACAGGCTTGGCCAGGTCCAGGTGGCCAAAGTGGCCTGGACAGTCGGTCATGTTACCAGCACAGGTGGTACAGCGAGTATTGCGGTCCAGACAACCCTGGCGGGGGTCCATCAGACCGCCTAGCTTGGGACGACCATTCTCGTATACTTCTGAGTACATGATGCCGCCCTCAGTCACAGACATACGACGCTGTTAGGGATACAGTAGTAGTAGTACTAGTTAATAAGTTTATTTAGGTACAGGTATGCATAAGTACAATTATCATACATAGTGTAAATTACCTAGGATAACCCCCCCCCTCCAAAAAAGTAATATTTATTTCTACAAGTACAAGGTATACAGACCATAGCTGACATCAGTGACATACTACTATATAGAAATCCGCTTGTAATGCAGAACATTTCTCGCAAATTAGGTTAGTTTTGTCCCAGGATGCGACCCACACTGGTCCATTAACACCCAGATAACTATTTTACTGGCGAACAGGGACAGCAGGTGACTTATGGAAACACGTCCTAAAGATTTCCAGCCGTACCGGGGATCGACCCCCGGACCTCAGTGTGTGAGCTGAGTGCACTACCAATCGAGCTACAGGACACCTTAACTAGTAGTAGCATTAACAGCATATACAACTTTATTAAGTCATGTTATTTCTGTGTAAACCAGCAGCCCTCAACTGGTGGTCCATGGAGACTTCTTCGGTGGTCCACCGGTCGAATATTGTCCAGGGACACGCGGTGTGAGACAAATACCGCTAGAAGTTTTTTTACACACGTTGTTCACCCATTAATAAAATGTGTACCTGGGTGTTAATGGACTGGTGTGGGTCGCATCATGGGCGTTAGCAGACTGGTGTGAGTCGCATCCTGGGTGTTAGTGGACTGGTGTGGGTCGCATCCTGGGTGTTAGTGGACTGGTGTGGGTCGCATCCAGGGTGTTAGTGGACTGGTGTGGGTCGCATCCTGGGTGTTAGTGGACTGGTGTGGGTCGCATCCTGGGTGTTAGTGGACTGGTGTGGGTCGCATCCTGGGTGTTAGTGGACTGGTGTGGGTCGCATCCTGGGTGTTAGTGGACTGGTGTGGGTCGCATTCTGGGACAAAACTGACCTAATTTGCGGGAAATGTTCCGCATAACAAGCGGCTTTCTATATAGTATGAGAGGAACTTACAATTTCATCAGGACTGAGGATACCAAACTGTATCCTGCGGACGGGTCGGAGAGGCGCCTTGCTCTCAAGTCCAGCCATTATCACTATTCTCTTCCCTTCCTCTCGTCTTATATCCTCTTCTTTATCTTCTCTTCCTCCTCTGAGTCCACCTGAAATGTTATAAGTCTTGCTATATAATAATAATAATAATAATAATAATAATAATAATAATAATAATAATAATAATATCTTTATTTACTACCAGTACATGTACAAGGTATACAGACCATAGGTGACATCAGTGACATACTACTATATAGAAAACCTCTTGTTATGCAGAACATTTCCCGCAAATTAGGTCAGTTTTGTCCCAGGATGCGACCCACACCAGTCCACTAACACCCAGGATGCAACCCACACCAGTCCACTAAACCCAGGTACCCATTTTACTGATGGGTGGACATGGACAACCAGTGTAAAGAAACACGACCAATGTTTCTACCCTGGCCGTGTGAAGCGAAAACTTTATCCATCAGGCCACGGGACAAAACTGTATCCCTTATGAAGCAGATTGAATGACAAATATATGCTTGGTACAGATCCGAATTATGTTTTACATTCATAAATATACAAATAACCACAGTCGAAGTTGAATGATAGCTCTAGGCCTCTTGTGTTGTACTCAACACATCATCATGAGCTTGCAATGTTGCAGAAATAGAGTAGGAGAGTCATTTCCATGAACGAATCTCCCTGGATTTCGTTTCGGTCCGACTTTCACCATTTACAAAGTCACATTAACAGGAAGGAGATTCTTTTTTCGTCTTTGTAGATTCGCCGGTCTAATCGCCCGGCCCAGGCCTTTTCCAAGTGGTGGCCCGGCCTTAGCTCCCTTTCGCGGGAGTATCTCAGACCAATGTCTGCCATGGGAGGAGGTACAAGTACCTCATCGTCTTCTGGGACCAACTGTCCCGAGGCCTAGCCCCATTCCCCGCCCCCACGGGGCTCAGAGGGAGAAGCTAAGCACCTTGGGCTGCCACGAACCCTGCCTACACTTGGCTCGAAGAGTGAGGCAGCTACATAGCAGCAGACGATGTTAGGACATGCAAAGGCAGCAAGCACTACAGGATCCTTATGGAGCCATAACCCAGGTTTGAGCCTAGGCCCGAGTGCTAGGGAAGCTCAAGAATGCCGCCACCGCCGCCGCCGCCTCCTCCTCCTCCTCCTCCTGTCAGCATAGTTGCTGATCCCCTGTATATGTAAATGTTATCTGAGTATCATAGTACCATAGATATGTTTTACATAGTTGACCCCTTGCTAGGCTCAGTGACTAGCTTGTGTGATGTCAGGTGATGCTGCATGAGAGCGCTGCACTCCCGGCCTCGTCCTCAGTTCTCCACGCTTAGGTCTGCAGGTAACACAGGCAGGTTGGGCCTCTCCCTCTCACACTCTGCTAATATAAGTGTTACCATCCAACAACTGTGTTTAACTCCAACCATCACATCTCCACGAACCCTCCCGACACTCCTCCTCCTGCTGCTGCTGGTTATGTACGACTACGACAACTACTACTACAACTTCCACTGGGAAATCCTGCCTACCAGTGACTATGCCCTCGTCTGCTACACGTCCCATTTCCACCTGACGTTAGTATATAAGCGTCAGGCGCCTTGCTTCTGCTTCAGAATCTCCACGACTACGGTGCTCTTCGCACCTACTCCTAGGTTAAGGGACTGATTACTTAATCTTCTGTACAAGTTATGTCCTGGAATTTGTATTGATAAAGCCACTGGATGGCGAAACGTCTACAATAAAGATACCCAGATGTTGCACATGTGTCTTAATTTCATCTGTGTCTGGCTTCTGACACAAGCATGCCACAATTTATACTTATAAAGTTGAGAGCATTTATGGATGACAGAGAATCAGTTACAATTAAAGTGTCAACCTTAGACACATGGATGCATTTGAGTGCAAGGAGTATGGCAAACAGTTCTGTTTGAAGGGTAGAGGCCCAGTTATTGATGCGTGCTCCAATTTCTTTATGAGAGCCATCACTCTGTACGACAACAGCAGCACTACCAGCTGCACCAGTGGAATGGTGAACAGAACCAACAACGTAAATAATTTGTGTAAGAATGTGCTGTGTGACTAAGTTATCAACACAGCTTAAGGCATCATGTTTGGCTTCAAGACGAAGCTTTGGTTGTGACTGAAGAAGTATTTTGGGGGGAAATGGGGAATGGTAGTTTGGAATGGGGTAATATCCCATGGAGTGGAGAAGTGCCGCTGTTGCCCTACTTGACATAGATCATGTATCTGGTTCATGCGGAGGTCGGTTCCAGTTTGTTCGATCCATCTGGAGGAGTGTTCACCAGTGCTGAGGAAAGCTTGGAGGGCTTCTGTGCAGGGGTTTGAAGGGGCTTGCCTGAGCATACTAACCACAATTAGGATATATCGTTCAGTAACGCGGTCTCTGTTGCTTTGAATATCAAGTTTTTTAAAACCTGCATATTTAAAATTTTGGCAATATGAGGGCATCCTATGATGATCCTCATTGCTTCATTTTGCAGTTTTTCCAGCCCTTCAAGCTTCCAGTCAGACAAGAGTGCAAGTAGTGGCGCAGCATAATCAACCAATGATCTAATGTAAGCAAGATACATAATTTTCACAATTTTAACCTTAGCTCCATACCTGGGATGAAAACCTGCCACAACTCTAAGTGCTCTCAGCCTTTCTTTGTATTGGCGACAAAGTCTCGTTACATCAGGTCCAAGCAGTAGAACCTCAAAGCCTAGATACCTGTAACTGCTTACATATTCTAGAAGAGATCCATCATGCAACTGGATCTGACAAACTGTGCCTCTCTGTCGAGGAGGACGCCTATTTAGTATCTTTGCTTTGTCAGTAGAGATTATCAACCCCAGGTCCTGACACGAGGCTAGTACATGGTTAAGGATGTTTTGGGTGCTGGAGAATCCGGTGGTGTGAATCATTATATCATCAGCAAAACTAATCATATAATGATGGGGCTGGCTAGGCACAGCATTAAGTAAGGCATTAATTAGAATATTGAATAGGGTGGGACTGAGCACACCTCCCTGTGGGGTTCCTAATTCAAAATCTTTAGTTACATTTCTAGGTCCCTGGAACAACACAGACGACTTTCTATTGCACAGGTAGCCTTTAATCCAGCGAAGAAGCCATCCTCCAACATCCATTCTGGCAAGTTCACTAATGATTACATGTCGGTTGGCTACATCAGTAGCAGATTTAAGGTCAAGGTAGTGTATGAGCTGTCAGTGTGCAGAATGAGAAAGGTGGTTATGCAATGATGTACACTAGAGTTTACCTTCCATGCATGAAACCATGCAACCGGGGAAACAAAAATGGTTTGATTCTGTACATGAGACGTGTGAGGGAAAAGTTCAATAGATAGGAGTAGTGAGGGAGTATAAACTAACAATAGTTTCATGCCGGCTACTTGTTAAGGTAGGGTAAGTCCAGCTCCCGCTATTCTCACCTTTTTTCCCCCTCCCCGAAAGTGATAGTTTGACTGCCGGCTGCTTGTTAAGGTAGGGTCAGTCTAGCTCCGGCTATCCCTTCCCCTCCCTCTTCCCCCCCCCCCGAAAGGTGACGTGTGGGGCTCCGGCCAAACAGTAATCACTCGACTCACAAGCTCCCAGCACTGCTGTAAGTACACGCCTGATCATATTTTAGTGGACTTATTGGTTGAAAGCTTCACTTTTGACCAATAATTAACTTAGTCCTTTCAGTCTTGATCGGTTAAATGTTTTAACAGTCACCACATCTTTTAGGTATTGTACTTATCATGGAGACTGATTTCTTAAGCAGTGGGTAATCTGTCTCTCTTTACAGCTTGGAATGACAGAGTGGGTCACCTGCCAATCAACGAGTAGAATAGAAGGAGACGGACTAACGTCCTGAGACGTCCCATGTTTAATCTACTTACCTGTTATGTAAGCCAACGCAGGACCTAACCCCTCATCATAGCAGTGGTAACGAACCTGTTTTCCTGTCATCTGAGGTAATTATTCACGGCTATACTCTGTGAAGAACGAGCCAGTGGTGGTCACCAGCACCTGCTAACCCCCCCCCCACATCAGCAATGGCTACGATTTCAACAACACACAGTGTCACCAACACCTGACACCCCATTACCACGATATACCTATATTAGCGTTGAGTTCAAATGTAATTTTTTTTCATTTCATTTTTCATTTTTCTTTCAATTAGGATACCCATTCATGTTTTATTGTTTTACATTTTCCGTTTCTAAATAATAAAGTGTTTATCATTGTCTGTTATTATTTCTTTTTCTATTCATTAATTTTCCTGAGGAGGAGCCAGCCTTGGTAATACTGACTGAAGTTGTTACAGGGCTGAGTAAGCCTTCACAAGACGATTAAGAATCATCCTCTCGAATGTTTTACGCCAGCAGCTAGTAAGAGATATTGAGCAAAATGCTTTTTATTGATTGGGCTTAGGAAATGGTACTCGACACAACAATCTGAGCATGCTGTAAGTAATACCATCCTCCCCGGCGACGTGGAGTTGCCCTTTGTTAGTGTTGCATCAAGATCAAAGTTAGTGAAAGGAAAATTACAGTCATCTTCCTTGCTGAGCATAAAACAACTCAATCTCTCCCTTGCATCATATTTGTCCATTAATTTCGCCTGTGTGGTACTGAGAAGATTGTCATAGCTAGATGTAGCAGCCCAAGCACTGACTAGCTCATTCGCCCTATGTAAGGGATGAGGGTGCACGATCTGCCCACTCCTGTTACCCTTAATTCTATTTATGTCCCTCCATGCCCGGCTAAGTGGGGTGTGAGCATTGACACCAGTGACAAATTGTTCCCAGTCTGCCGCAGCTGTCATACGCTCTCTGGCAGCAGTAAGGGCAGTTTGGAAGAGGCTCAGCATTTCAGGGGTACTATGGTTTCTATAGGCTAGGCCTAGTCTGCGAACAGTGCATTTCAATCTTCGAAGTTTAGAATCATTGTAATAGGTATTGGTTTTATAGGAGGTCTGATTATTATGGGAGTTAGATGGGTTTAGAGTAGTAGGAGGTTTCGGTGGCGGTTCCAGGTAGTTCTGAATACTGCTCACAAGGTCATTGTTAAAAGTCTCTACAGAGGTTCACTCAT